AAAAAGGCAATTCCGACTTCTCCAAGCCTAATGCAATTTCAATGAGTTCATCTTGATTTGGTTTCGTTTCACTTCCGAAAGCTACATACACAACCGATCCTTTTTCTTTCGTGTCAAGCCATTCCTTAATTTCAATCCAGTTTTCGTTTTGCCCTTCAGAATCGCCATTAGTAGTTGTTGGGGGTAAATGACCGACAGGAATAATTGGTTTTTGGTAAATATTCTCTAGAAGTTGTAGCCACTCAGGCTCAAACTCATAACAACTTCTCATCACCACCACATCACAGCCGTCAATGGTGGCTACCAATCGGTACATGTCCGAAACATTACCACCGTCTATTATTGCCTCCTTAAACTGGCGATTAATTTGAAAGAAGCGCATAGAAACAGATGTTTCGAAGGGCACCCACTTGGGTTTCACGATGAAATCTTCAGGCTTCACCCGATCATCTTGATTTTGCAATGTAAGTGATGTTGGGCCAGTACAGCTCAAAATAGTTGCAGTAAATATACTGAAAAATGCACACGGAATGTTGCGCTTAGCAGCTTCTGGGTATAACCAGTATTGAGCAAAATCAGCAATAACCCAGTCGGGCGAGGAATCTTCCAACAAACAAATGATTCTTGGTTGAAGCTCGTCAAAGGCAATTTTAAGGTAGCGGACCATTTCGAATGGTAAATCAATGGTGGCTTCTGCTTCTTCAGGTAGATTATCAACTTTTGGCAATTGAATCTTGACAAATTCTATTAGATGGGTTAAATTCGGAGGCAGTTTGGGAAGGCGTTCAATGTTTCTTTGAGTCGAAACAAAGGAGACTCTGTGGCCTTTCTGGGCTATGAGCTTTGCGAGCTCTAGGTATGGAATCAAGTGACCGAAGGCCAGCCATGGAAACATGAGAATACGCAATTTACCCTGCTCAGCCATGGATTACAGATTTAGAGGTGCAGTGATAAGCAGTGTGCAAGATTTCCAAGACTTTTCTGTAAGTTTGTGATTGAGATATTTATTTTGATTAGGTCAATGCAATACTAACATGCATTTCATACCACAATTATCCCGTGAACCCTAATGATTGAGTGGTGGGGGCTCTGGGATAGTTCCTTATATTATGCACCCACGTGATCTGTAGATTTACTTTTCTATTAGAGAAATGCTACACTTACAATCTTTTTATGCATACATTTTGACAATCCTCTCACATGGGTGGGGCCCACAATCGTGGGGACATGGGGTGGGGCCCACAATGTCAAACTTAATGTGTAAAAAGGTTGTACATTCAGCATTTTTCTAAAAAAGACCTATCTATTTGATAGCCTCTATTTTCCTTGAAAGTAAAAATATTTTTTCCATTTTCCACCTTTTTAATTGTTTGATAGGTATAATTTTTTGGACTTGGTTTTCCACTTGGGGTGCTCACGTGACCCATTTTCTTGGAAATTGATGAAAACTTTTTCCATGCTGCTGCATTTTTTTTTTTGGCAATGAAAATAAATGTCATAACTCGTAAAAAAAAAAATTTACTTTAATATACAATTTTCATGTAAAATAAAACCAAACGAACACTAAAATTTGATGTAAAATTATTTTTTAGGGAAAAAAATTTCTCTCTCTTTTTTTTTTTTTTTTTAAGCAATGAATACAAATTTTATAACCAACTGTGGAAAAATTTATCACTTCAGTGGACAATTTTCATGTAAAACAAAGCCAAACAGACACAAAAATTTAAAATTTTCTGGATGGAAAATTATACCAATCAAACACCTTTGGAAAATTATACCAATCAAAATTTTCCTTGGAAGTTGAATTTTTTTTTTTTTTTTTGTACCAATCCGTTGTCATTATCATGTTATTGAACTGCTATCAAACTAGTATAAATAGGCCTCACTCAATAGTAGAAAATCTACAGAAATCCTACCAGCACAAGTGCACCCAAAGAAAAAAAAAATTAAGTATTAAAGGTAAATAACTATATTCTTCTTTTAATTCAAGAATTTAAGTTCGTCAGAGAAGATTTTTATAAGATAATTAAATTCTTAAGTCAAGAGTCAGAAATAATAAAGTAAATTCTAAGAGAAATTTTGGGATACAAAAAGAAAGAGGGAGTACTGAAAACTCTATTAATAGAGTTTCTGATACTCTTAAGTCGACACACGTACCAAGGACATATGTGCCTACCTTCTTATAGTTATGGTTTATTAGTACCTGCGCTCATTTGGCATTAAGTAAATCTGGTTTGGAAGACATCCATGCCACGAGGAAAAAAAAATATTCTAAGAACAAGTTGTTGAAATTAAATCAACATTAATAATTAATTTTAATTATATATTATATTTTATCAATTTTTATTTAAAATTTATTAAAAATTTTGATTTTATGCATTGTTTGGTCCGGATTAAAATCTGATTTTAATCCAAGTTAAAGTCAAAAAATCAATATTAATCACATTTTTTATAAGTCTCACAACTTTTCAACCACATATTTCAAAAACATGTATCATAATTTACTAAGCACCTTAGTAGTAAATGTGT